AGTGGCAGTGTTTTGATGTTGGGGGTCAGTGGGAGGGGCAGTGTTGTGGAGTTGGGGTCAGTGGGAGGGGCAATGTTCTGGTGGTTGGGGGTCAGTGGGAGGGGCAATGTTCTGGGTGGTTGGTGGCAGTATAGGTGATGTACGTAGCGCCCCCTAGAGTGAGATTTCATTCCTACAGACCACCTCCTCTTGTAGTCCCACTTCTGCATTTTCCTGAATATATTAATAAAAATGGTGATTCTCTGACTCCTCCCGCTTACACAACCCTTTGTGGCGGTTGCCCTGGTTATAGCGCTGTCATGTGACAACCTTCCTCCCGAGTTTATTTGGTTTACACGGTGGGACCTATCATCTCTTTCACAGATTGGATGACCACGGCCTGCAGTCAGAGACAGCTCCTCCCACCACTGATCATCCCTCCTCGGCCATTGTTTCCCCGGCTTCCTCAATAGACGCAATGTCGCCCCGCCTACACGTTCTGGCGTTGAGCTGAGCTGTCAGGATTGAAGGCCGGTGGGCGTGTTGCGTCAATCACGTGGTCGGAGTAACCCGGAAGTGCAGAGATCGAGTAGCGGAGTTTACGGCAAGATCAGCACCATTACACCGTGTGAGGAGAAGGGGGGATCTGGGGGGCGTATGGTGAGGGGTGCTGGGTTTGAGGGAGTGTATTCTGAGAACATGAGGGGATTATGTTTAGAAGGAGGGGCATGACGGGGGTGTTCGGCGAGAAATTGGGCTGGGAGTAAATGAGAGGGTGTATGGTGGGAGGAGGGGGAGGACATGACGGGGGTATGGTCGGAGGGGGGGGAAGGGGGCAAATGAGAGGGAGCACATGAGGGTGTGTATGGTCGGAGGGGGGAGGTGAGATGGGGGGGGAGGACATGGTGGGTAGGTGAGGGAGGGGGGAGGACATGAGGGGGATGTATTGTTGGAGGAGAGGGGGGGGGGAGGGACATGAGGGGGTGTATGGTGGGGGGAAATTGGAGGGGGTGTATGTTGGGAGGAGAGGGGGTTTATGGTGGGAGGAGGGGGGATTGGAGGGGGTGTATGGTGGGGAGGAGGGGGGGGGGGAGGGGGGGGAGGGGGTGTATGGTGGGAGGAGGGGGGGATTAAAGGGGGTGTATGGTGGGAGGAGGGGGGGGGGATCGGAGGGGGTGTTTGGTGGGGGAGGATGAGGGGGGTTATGTTGGGGGGGGTGTATGGTGGGGGGGAGGCATGAGGGGGTGTATGGTGGGAGGAGGGGGGGGGTTGGAGGGGGTGTATGGGTGGGAGGAGGGGGGGGATTGAAGGGGGTGTATGGTGGGAGGAGGGGGGGGATGGGAGGAGGGGGTGTTTGGTGGGAGGGGGGGGGGGGTTGGGGGGGAGGACATGAGGGGGTGTATGGTGGGGAGGGGGGGGGGTGGGGGGGGGGGATTGGAGGGGGTGTATGGTGGGAGGAGAGGGGGGGGGGGGGGGGGATTTGAGGGGATGTATGGTGGGGGGGGGACATGAGGGGGTGTATGGTGGGAGGAGGGGGGGGGGGAATTGGAGGGGGTGCATGGTGGGAGGAGAGGGGGGGGGATTGGAGGGGGTGTATGGTGGGAGGATCGAGGGGGGGGGAGGACATGGAGGGGGTATGGTGGGGGGGAAGGACATGAGGGGGTGTATGGTATGGTGGGGGTGGGGAGGACATGAGGGGGTGGGGGGAGGAGGACATGAGGGGTGTATGGTGGGGGGGGGGGAGGACATGAGGGGGGTGTATGGTGGGAGGGAGGGGGGGTGGGAGGACATGAGGGGGTGTATGTGTGGGAGGAGAGGGGGGGTGGGGAGGACATGAGGGGGTGTATGGTGGGAGGGGAGGGGTGTGGGAGGACATGAGGGGTGTATGGTGGGTGGGAGGACATGGGGGGGGTGGAGAGGGGGTGTATGGTGGGAGGGGAGGACATGGGGGGGGTGTATGGGTGGGAGGAGAGGGGGGGGGAGGACATGAGGGGGTGTATGGTGGGAGGAGAGGGGGAGGGGGACATGAGGGGTGTATGGTGGGCGGAGAGGGGGGGAAAGGACACGAGGGGGGGGGTGGGAGGACATGAGGGGGTGTATGTTGGGAGGAGAGGGGGGGGTGGGAGGACATGAGGGGGGGTGTATGTGGGAGGACATGAGGGGGGGTGGGAGGACATGAGGGGGTGTATGGTGGGAGGGGGAGGGGTGTGGGAGGACATGAGGGGGTGTATGGTGGAGGGAGGGGGAGGACATGGGGGGTGGGAGGACATGAGGGGGGTGTATGGTGGGAGGGGAGGGGTGTGGGAGGGTAGGGTACATGAGGGGGTGTATGGTGGGAGGACATGAGGGGGTGGGGGGGGTGTGGAGGGTGGTGGGGGAGGACATGGGGGGTATGTATGGATGGGGGGGGGGAGGACATGAGGGGGTGTATGGTGGGAGGAGAGGGGGGGGAGGACATGAGGGGGTGTATGGTGGGAGGAGAGGGGGGAAAGGACACGAGGGGGGGAGGATATGAGGGGGTGTATGTTGGGGAGGAGAGGGGGGGTGGGAGGACATGAGGGGGTGTTATGGTGGGAGGACATGAGGGGGGATGGTGTATGGTGGGAGGAGAGAGGGGGTGGGGAGGACATGAGGGGGTGTATGGTGGGAGGAGGGGGGGGAGGGAGGACATGAGGGGGTGTATGGTTGGGGGGGAGGAGAGAGGGGGGGGGGTGGGAGGACATGAGGGGGTGTATGGTGGGAGGAGAGGGGGTGGGGGACATGAGGGGGTGTATGGTGGGAGGAGTGGGGGGTGTTAAGGAGGGAGGGGGTGGGTGGGCGGAGGATATGAGGGGGTGTGTATGGGGGAGGAGGAGGGGGGGTGGGTGGGAGGAGGACATGAGGGGGTGTATGGTGGGAGGAGAGGGGGAGGACATGAGGGGGTGTATGGGGGAGGAGAGGGGGTGTTGGTGGGGTGTGTATGTGGGAGGAGGGGGGGGGGACATGAGGGGGTGTATGGTGGGCGAGAGTGGGGGGTGAGGGGGGGGTTGTACATGAGGGGGTGTATGGTGGAGAGGAGGGGGGGAGGACATTGAGGGGGTGTGGTGGGGGGAGGGGTGGGGGAGGGAGGGGAGGGCATGAGGGGGGGTATGTATGGTGGGAGGGGAGGGGGGGGGAGGACATGAGGGGGTGTATGGTGGGGAGGACACGGAGGGGGGGAGGACAAATGAGGGGGTGTATGGTGGGAGGGAGAGGGGGGGGACATGAGGGGGTGTATGGTGGGGGAGGAGGGGGGGAGGACATGAGGGGGTGGTGTATGGTGTGGGGAGGAGAGGGGGGGTGGGAGGACATGAGGGGTGTGTATGGTGGGAGGGTAAAGGACAATAAGTGGGGGGAGGACATGAGGGGGGTGGGAGGAGAGGGGGGGGGACATGAGGGGGTGTATTGGTGGGGGGGAGAGGGGTGGGTGGGACATGAGGGGGGTGGGACATGAGGGGGTGTATGGTGGGAGGGAGAGGGGGACATGAGGGGGTGGGTGGGATGAGAGGACCATGAGGGGGTGGTGGGCGGGGGGTGTAAAGGATTATGGTGGGAGGAGGGGGGGCAGGGGGGAGGGAGGAGAGAGGGGGGACATGAGGGGGTGTGTATGGTGGGGAGGAGGGGGGGGGGGACATGAGGGGGTGTATGGTGGGAGGAGAGGGGGAGGGGGTGTATGGTGGGAGGAGGGGGGGATCTTGAGAGGGTGTTATGGTGGGAGGGTGGGTGTAGGGGGGGGGGACATTGAGGGGGTGTATGGTGGGAGGGAGGAGGGGGGGGGGACATGATGAGGGGGGTGTATGGTGGGAGGGGAGGAGGGGGGGGGTTTGAGGGGGTGTATGGTGGGGTGGAGGGGGGGGGGGACATTGAGGGGGTGTGGGAGGAGGGGTGGGAGGGGGGTGTATGGTGGGGGAGGGTGGGGGACATGAGGGGGTGTATGGTGGGAGGAGGGGGGGGGTGACTTGAGGGGGTGTATGGTGGGAGGAGGGGGGGGGTATATGAGGGGTGTATGGTGGGAGGAGAGGAGGGGGGGACATATGAGGGGTGTATGGTGGGAGGAGGGGGGGGATGATGGTGGGAGGAGGGGGGGCATGTGGGTGTATTGGTGGGAGGGGGGAGGGAGGTAAGACATGATGAGGGGGTGTATGGTGGAGGAGGAGGGGGGGTGGATTTTATGGTGGGAGGAGTGGGGGGGGACATGAGGGGGTGTATGGTGGGAGGAGAGAGGGGGGACATGAGGGGGTGTATGGTTGGAGGAGAGGGGGGGGGAGGGTGGTGTACATGAGGGGGTGTATGGTGGGAGGAGAGGGGGAAGGGACATGAGGGGGTGGAGGAGGGGCCTGAGGGATATGGGGGGGGGAGAGGGGGAGGGACATGAGGGGGTGTGTAATGAGGGGTGTATGGTGCTGGGAGGGGGTATGGGGCTGCAGGAAGGGGACATGGAATGGGGTGGGGGGGGAGGGAATGAACTGTGGGAGGAGAAGGGGGGGGGGACATGAGGGGGTGCATGGTGGGTGCTGGACATCTTCTTTAGTGGGGGTCTTCATGGCCTCTTCATTGGCTGGGGGGGAATGACATCACTCCTGCACATGGTGCAGAAGCTAGGGGGATTGCAGGGGTGTATGGCTGGGCAGGAGTGAGGGGGCGCAGATGCACAGCTCAGTTTACAGTGGGAGGATGAGGTGAGCGGGCAGGTAGAGGCATTTTTGCAGAATAGACCGTGCATCTCTCTTCGGCAATAAAAAGCCTGCCTCTCTGCTGGTGGAAGGGTGTAGGGAGTGGCCGTTGGAGCAAGGGTAGAATGTGGTGGGATGGGCAGGACCCTTGGTGGTAGGGTAGAGAGTGATGCTTGGAGGAATGATTGTGGGAAGTGTAGGGAATGGGTGGGAAGTGTAGGGAATGGGTGCAGGCAGAACAGAGAGTTCTATGTGATGTATTACACAGAGAAGGTTTGCCGTGTACTACAATGCAATGTTATCCTTTCCATCTGCTCTCAGGTTTCTACCATGTTGGTGGGGGAGAGGAGAAATGGCAACCTCCTGGTACAGCTGGATCCAAAGCTTCAGGCCCAGCCTGTGGAGTTATTGCGGCAGCGGTTGAGCCCAGATGGCCACACTGAGTATCTGATCCGTTGGGCATTGCAAAATGTGGAGGAGACTGCAGGAAGTGGAGGAACCACCTCACAGGCAGAGAGCAAGTCCCCAAATATCCTGATGTGGATGTCGGCAGAGGAAGTGTACACCAACTGCCCAACTCTGCTGGGAAAGCGCAAATCTGAGGGGCCGGGCATCGCAGAAGAAAAGCCGTCTGGGTCCCCTGATGAAGGGGCTCTGCAGGAGATGACTGAGGATGTTCGGATGCTGGTTCAGAGAGCCACCAGGCAGATGTCCCAGGACTCCGGTCCTGATTCCTCCATCCTCAACACCATTCATGTGCTAAGTGCCTACGCCAGCATCGGCTCTCTGGCTGGAGTCTTCAAGGAGACCGGAGCTCTGGACATGCTCATGAAGATGCTTTGTAATCCAGAGAAGCAGATTCGCAAGAACGCCGGCAAGATGTTACGCGCTCTGGCATCACATGATGCAGGTGGGACCTCTTTATCATATCCTTTATACTTCCATTTTAAAACAATGTCAGAAAAACTGGGGGGCTCCCTCTGCCCATACGGCTTTACCTCTGCGCTCTCCTTCTCCCTCTGCGCGCTCTCCTCCTCCCTCTGCGCGCTCTCCTCCTCCCTCTGCGCGCTCTCCTCCTCCCTCTGCGCGCTCTCCTCCTCCCTCTGCGCGCTCTCCTCCTCCCTCTGCGCGCTCTCCTTCTCCCTCTGCGCGCTCTCCTCCTCCCTCTGCGCCCTCGCCCCTCCTCCCCCTCTGCGCCCTCGCCTCCCCCCTCTGCGCCCTCGCCTCCTCCCTCTGCGCCCTCGCCTCCTCCCTCTCTCCCTCTGCTCCCTTCTGAGCGGTCACTGCCTCTCCTAGCTCTTTGTAGAAGGGTATATCCTGCTTCGTGTCATCGGTACTGGAGGCTTCCCGTACTCATTCACCTTTATTGCTCATCATACATCACCTCCCTCTCTTTGCTCTCCTACTCATGACTGCATTTCACTCCCACCCCCCTCCCTCCAGTGCAGCATTACATTCTCCTCCTGTGTCTGCTTCTTGCCTCCTTTGTCATCCTGCACTCTCACTGGAGTACACAGACTTTGGAGTGACTGTATACTGGGGTAATAAAGGCTGTGGCTTACCTCCAGTTCCATCACTCAGCAAATGGTGTACACACACACACAGTCAGTGGACCAAGACCACGTGCGCAGGTACCACACACACAGTCAGTGGACACAGACCACGTGCGCAGGTACCACACACACAGTCAGTGGACACAGACCACGTACGCAGGTACCACACACACAGTCAGTGGACACAGACCACGTACGCAGGTACCACACACACACAGTCAGTGGACACAGACCACGTACGCAGGTACCACACACACAGTCAGTGGACACAGACCACGTACGCAGGTACCACACACACAGTCAGTGGACACAGACCACGTACGCAGGTACCACACACAGAGCAGACTCTGAGGTAACCCCAGACAGAGCACACAGAAAAGCACAGCACACAGCCAGAGCAGACGCAGCACAGAAACGGAGCACACTCACAGGCACAGCACACAGCCAGAGCAGACGCACACAGAGCACACTCAGCCGCAGAACACAGATGGAGCACAATCACAGAGCACACACACAGTCGTAGAGCACATACTTGCACAGAGCAGACACACAGACATGGCACACACAGGCACAGCACACAGAATAGACACACACAGAGCACACTCGCAGTCCCAGAACACAGATAGCACAGACAGCTCACGCAGGCGCAGTACCCAGACAGAGCACATGCAGACACACTCAGTTGCAGAACACAGACAGAGCACACGCAGGCATCGCACACTCAGTCTCATGACAGGGACGGAGCACAGTCGCAGAGCACACACTTGCACAGCATACACTCAGTCACAGAAGACAGACAGAGCACACACACTTGCACAACACACAGAGCAGACACAGTGCACACTCACAGTTGTTGAGCACAGCCTACATAACACATGCACAGACAGCACACGCAGACACACACAGACCACACTCACAGTCGTTGAAACACAGAGCACAAGCAGACATACACAGAGCACTGTCACAGAACGCAGACACAAGCACAGCACACAGAGTGCACCCACAGTTGCAGAATACAGACAGAGCACACTCACGGCACAGCACACAGAGCACACATCACGGCACAGCACACACAGAGCACACTCACGGCACAGCACACAGAGCACACTCACGGCACAGCACACAGAGCACACTCACGGCACAGCACACAGAGCAGAGCACTCACGGCACAGCACACAGAGCACACTCACGGCACAGCACAGACACAGAGCACAGCACACAGAGCACACTCACGGCACAGCACACAGAGCACACTCACGGCACAGCACACAGAGCACACTCACGGCACAGCACACAGAGCACACTCACGGCACAGCACACAGAGCACACTCACGGCACAGCACACAGAGCACACTCACGGCACAGCACACAGAGCACACTCACGGCACAGCACACAGAGCAGACACATACAGAGCACACTCAGTCGCAGAGCACAAGCAGACATACACGGAGCACCGACACAGTTGCAGAATACAGACAGAGCACACACAAGCACAGTCACAGAGCATGCGCAGCACACAGTCACAGAACACAAACAGAGCATGCGCAGCACACAGAGAACAGACATACAGTATAGTCAGGAATACTTTACAAGACCTGTGTATAAATGTTGTGGTCGGGTTGCTGAATGCATGTTTTTGCCCCATGGTGGAATTTCTGTTTCTCTTACATGACATTCTTCCTATTGTAATGCACTGACATCCACATGTTGGAGATTCTCCTGCTGTACATTAGGAAGGTTATGACTTGAGTGAGTGAAAGCTGGTGTGTTGTTGGTGCTCAGCTGCATACTAAATGATACGTGGAAGGGAGTGAGTGTACAACCCTCCCAACAAACTGCAGCATTAATCCCACAAATATACGGGCCTTAAAACCTATCTGTGGGTTTCCTGTAACTTTAAAGCGGAGCTCCACCTAAAAGAGGAAGTTCCACTTTAAGGACTGCTCCACATTTAGGATTGGCACCTTTGGCGAGCGGGTACCCGAATTTGACAGGTAACCGCTCCCACTTCCGGTCCGATTGCCTAGGCGATGGGAGACGGAAGGTGTCCTCCCTCCCTCCCTGTAGTCTTTTGGGACACATGACAGGTCCCAGAAGACTACGGGACCATTCATGAAGCGCATGCGCAGTGGGCACCCGTCTGTGAAGCGGCAAGCTGTCACAGCTGGGTGCCCACACTGAAGATGCCGGCCTCCTGGAATCCATGACGGGCGGTGAAACGGGCTGCGGGGGACACACCACGGGACCGAGGGACAGGTAAGTGGCTGTTTTTTAAAAGTCAGCAGCTACAGTTTTTGGAGCTGCTGACTTTTATTTTTTGATAGGTGAAGGGGAACTCCGCTTTTAAATACTTCCTTTCCTGGAACAAAATCAAGTCGGGCTGTGTCAGGGTGGATTTGATTTAAATTAAACTGATTTAAATCACGATTTAAATCACTAGTCAGTAAGACTTGATTTAACTCCTAGTTTTCTACATAAAGACTAATTCTTGCTGGTATAACTTTAATATACAAGTAGATGAAGATTTTTAGAATAACTTTTCATATTAGTTTTTTTATCCCCAGTTTAATAGGTTAATCATTCATATTTGGACAACTTTTCTGTTGTATTTAGGAAGGAGAAAAATAATCATTACCTTAATAATAACAATTTAAATAGATTTATTCAACTGAAACAATAACATTCCAGCATGTGTGATTTGCTTAAACATCCATGTTTGGTAACTAATATTTTGGCTAAACAAAATATATATATTTTAAGAAACTTCCCTCCTCGCACTGTCAGCCCCTCCCTCCTCGCACTGTCAGCCCCTCCCTCCGCACTGTCAGCCCCTCCCTCCTCGCACTGTCAGCCCCTCCCTCCTCGCACTGTCAGCCCCTCCCTCCTCGCACTCGTCAGCACCCTCCCTCCTCGTCAGCAGCCCCCTCCTCCTCGCACACAGCCCCTTAGTTTCACTTTTTCTTGTGCAGATCTATTCCACTCCAAACAATCAGAAAAATATTGTTTCTATTCTATTCACTGAACTTCTTGAAACTTAGCACTGAAGGGGTTGATTCTGTATTCATAGGTTTGTAGAAGTTAGGATGAAGGTCTTTTTCTTAACTCTGTTCATGTTATAACATTTTTGCTGTGAAGAAGAGGCATGTGATCTCCGCTGAGTCAAATTCAGTTTTGAGAACTGCAAAAGTAAACCAACATCTGTGATAATATCTTGTAGGCAGAGAAACTGCCCAATAATCTTACAGAAACCTCTGGAGAGCATGACATTGTGAATGGATTCATGGAATTTATTTACCAAAAAAATTAAACATATACAGCCTTATTCTACATAATTAAAAAATGAATCTTTATGTCATGATGGAATAACCTTTGGATGGTAATATATTTTCCTCAAAAAGCATTTTTTTTTAAAAAAAAATCCGATTTCAATAAAAAAAATCCGATTTCAATAAAAAAAATCCGATTTCAATAAAAAAAATCCGATTTCAATAAAAAAAAAATCCGATTTCAATAAAAAAAAATCCGATTTCAATAAAAAAAAAATCTGATTTTAAATTAAAAAAATCGGGATTTTTTTTATTTTTTAAAAAAAAATCATTGATTTTTATCCACCCTGGGCTGTGTGTAGCTCAGACATTCACAGGAAACTTTGCATTCCCCAATGAAAACAGGGCTTCCCCTGATTGGCTGAGATGGAGAGGCCGGTGGATGGCGTCACAATCTCCACATCAGCTAAGTAGAGGAAGCCTTGCCTTCATTGATGAAATACAGTTCTTGCCCAACTTGGCTTTGTTCCGGTGGTGGATGGAATGTCCCTGTCCGGATGCCAGAACACCATGCTGTATACTGTATGAGGCGGAAGCTACATACAGTTACCACAGTGGGTGCTTCTGCTAGTGAAGCAGTTCATTTGGACCAGCTTGAGTTAGGCTTTAAAGGAGACTTTTGGGCAGCACAGTGGCTAAATGGTTAGCACTTCCCCCTTGAAGTACTCAGGTCGTTGGTTCGAATCCCAGCCACGGCACCACGTGTCTGGAGTTCACATGTTCTCCCTGTGCCTGCGTGGGTTTCCTCCGGGTATTCCGGTTTCCTTCCACACTGCAAAAACATGCTGGGAGGTGAATTGGCTCCTGTCTATATTGTCCCTAGTATGTGTATGTATGAATGTGAGTTAGGGACCTTAGATTGTACACCCCTTGAGGGTTAGGGACTGATGTGAATGTACAATATATATGTAAAGTGCTGAGTAAATTGATGGCGCTATATAAGTACCTGAAATAAACTTTTCCATAGATCAGGAGTCTCCAAACTTTCTAAACAAAGGGCCGGTTTACTGTCCTTTAGACTTTTGGGGGG